AGAGGATGCCACCCTGCTTATCCAGCAGCTCTTAGGATGACATCTGTGGGGAATGACTGCAGGTGTGCCTACACATTTAGGACACTTAGCAGACACATGGCAAGTAGTTGTTCAGTTCCAGAGCTTAGATGTTGCAGTGTGGAACGGTGCCACTGCTCATCAGGATTACAAACTGGCGATTGGAAAGTCTCTCTTCCTTCTTTTCTCCAGGTAAATGGGTTTCAGTCTTTGCACCCCAGGTCCAGTATTACAAGTAGAGTTGGGTGGGAAGAGGAAAATTTGCCACCAGTTGAAAATCGGTAGGATCTGTAACTTGCTGCTTGGACCTTTAAAATCACAGAGAAGACTGAATGTCATCACCTCACACCTGCACAACAGTAGCTCTTCACCAAGTGAGTCTGTGTCAGGGCGCCCACAACACAGGCGTTTTGCAAGCACATAGTAAAAGGATGGATCTGTGCTATGCAGCTGCTCTGATTAGCCACGGGAGCAGGTGATAAAAAGCAGCATGGAAATCTTAACCAGACTCCAACACCTTTGATCTTGGCCACTTCCAGACAAGATACTGACAGCTGATGTTTTGCATTTTAGATTCTAGACTCAGAGCTTTTTGAACTGATGCACCAGAATGGAGATTACACTCACTTTTACTTCTGCTATCGCTGGTTCCTGCTTGACTTTAAAAGAGGTAATAATGTTCTATGCCTATAGTTTAGAGTTGTGCAAAACTGAACAGCTCTGTGTTTTGGTCTGATGGTGAGCAGCAGCTAGGCTCACAAGAGAACTTGTAGCTCGGAAAGCTAATGCAACTCAGCAATGAACTAGCACTGGAACGAAGTCAAAGCTTAGAAAGGAGCGTTGAGAATTCCTGATGATGTGGTTGGAGCCCAAGTTTCTCCACAGTGCAAACGCCTGGCTGCTCAGGAAGATGATCCTGAGTTGATCACACGCCTTTGTAAGCTTTGATACCTCCTTTCTAATCCATTTGGTAAGAAGCAGCAGCTCAGCAAGAGCTCAGGAGCTGTTGCACTTTGCTGAGTGAGGTACTTTATTTACTGTGGGAGCACCCCAGGATCCCTGCACAAGCACACCCCCCCCACCCCCCCACTCTAACAGAAGTAGTTGGTTGGAATCGAGGGGCCCAGCCTGCTGTCACCCAAGGCGGTGGCTCCGTTCAGTTACACACTGATCTCCAAGAAGCAGAAGATGACACCCCCCTCAAATACCCTAAAACACAAAGGTGATAGAGGGCGATGATTGCACATCCATCAGCTGTTCGTTATGAGCCATTATCTGACAGGGAGGGGGGAGGAATTGTGGCTCTGAACTGAACAGTAAACCCTTGACCTTCACAGAGAACTGCGCAGCCCCCACATCCCGGTCCCCTGGGCCTCACTGTCACAGGCTGGGCAGAGGATGAGCCCATACGGCTCCAGACGAAGCCTCCGCGGGTTGTCTCTGAACTGCAGCGTGTATAGACCTAGCTCACGCACGTCCACTGTACAACTAATTGTTGCCAATTCCAAACAGCAGAGCTTTAGCACTGGTAGGTTCACTGCAAAGCCAAGAAGGGCCCCCGGACACCGTTCGGATCCGCAGCCTCTCGTGTAGCCCAGCCTCGGACAAACGGGCCGCCCTGTGCTGCTGGCACGCGGTCACGGCCGTTCGGCAACTGCGGGGGTTCAGGCTGCACCACCACACCTGCCTCCTGCCTTCATTTTCCTTTAAACCCAGTTCTGTTGCTGTGCTTGCACAAGTGGCAGGAGTTGGCTGGGGGAGAGGAAAAGGAGGAGTCATCAAGTGCTGTTCATGTCTGCATAAGGCCTGTAAGTCATTAGTTAGAGAGGGGGAAATGGTCAGTTTGAATAATCAGATGCTCTTGTAATGTTTATTCCCATTCAGAATTGTTGTACGAGGATGTATTTACAGTGTGGGAAGTTATTTGGGCAGCAAAGCACATCTCTTCAGAACATTTTGTCCTTTTCATTGCCTTAGCACTTGTGGAAGTTTATCGAGAGATTATCCGTGATAACAACATGGACTTCACTGATATCATCAAGTTTTTTAACGGTAAGAGACTTTAAGAGAGCCGTTTTGATAAAAAAGCAAATAACGGGAGTTTGCTCCTTCTGCCTTACTCAGACTAGCTGTCTGCAGCTGGGCAGAGTTCTTGCTGTCGTGACAAGCCCCTGGTCGTTTTAAGCTCTGGAACTTTTGCCCCTTCGTGCAAAGGGTGAGCCCAGATTTCCACACGCTTCCTGAAGACCAGAGTAGGCACACACAGACAGCAGTGTTTTAAGAACTACAGGGAGCACAGACCACGGTAGCTTTTTCAGACTCAGGGGTAATTTTTACCACAAAGCAAGCTTCGGAATTTCTGTTTAAACGATTTGCCACAGTGACTCTTTGCCCTTGTTTTAATGTGAGCTGCTAAAATACTGCTTAATTTTTTGCAAAAGTCTCTCGCGAGTGTTAAGATTGCCAGAGTTGTTTCTGTGTACAGGGCTTGACCCTCCTGAGGCAACTGGTCATGCAAAACATCCCAAACCACTTCCATGGTTCATTGCTTACCGTAGTGGTCCACAGATGCCAACCAACACCCACTGCCAGAGCAAAAAGCATTCTGCCAAAGCAAGCTCGGGCTCTTCCTGGCTGTAGAATGCAAGTTAGTCCTGAACAAGTGCTCCCTGTTGGGATATTTCTTAAAGTTTGGAAACAGTTTTGTGTAATCACAGTAATTTACTAAGTTATGAGTGCTGTGCCTTTCCGCCATCTGTTGCAGAAGCCCCAAATTTGCTTTTGTTTTGCCTCGGCCACTTGTATTCCAAGGCTGTACATTAATGCTTCCCTCAAAAAAAACCCTACCAAAACCCCCAGAAAACCACCACCCACCCACCCACCCCCCCCAACAAAAAACCAAAACAAAGCCCAAAACCCCGCAAACAAAAGAAACCCCAGTACTTGCCTAAGCTGAACAAAGCGTTGATTGCAGCACTGAGGATTCGGGTGTGTCGAGAGCTCCGTTCTGATCCCCGGGCTGCAGAGGGCAGGCGGCTGCACGTGGAGCTGCGCGGGCACGTCGCTCCCTGGACGCGAAGCCCCTTAGTTGTCTCGACCACTCGCATCCCAGACACTCCAGCAACAGGCCCTGCCTGGAAGGGCGTCTCCTGATGGAGCCGAGCTCAGCGTTACATTTTTGAGACCCCAGGAGGGCAGTTCAGGCACGTGTGGGTACAGAGGCTGGGGCCGCAGGGCACTGGGATTTCTGCACCAGGAGAACTGACACCAGAAGGATTGAGCTCTTGGTGCCAGGACCCACAGCTCTAAGGGATTCCTCCGCTTATTTTAGCTTTACCCCCTGCAATGCTTCTGCATTGCTGCTAATGCTACACTAATTAGTTAATGCTACATTAATAGCCATGCTAGGGCAGAAAAGTTCCTGCTGCTGACAGTTAAGAATGTTTGTCTGTGTCTTTTAGAAATGGCAGAGCATCATAATGCCGAGGAAATTCTGAGGATAGCAAGAGACCTGGTCTACAAAGTGCAGACACTGATTGAAAATAAGTGATAATGAACAGACTGTCACTGTGGGCCTTGTTCTGAGTTACTGGATGGAGCGTTTCTTGCACTGTAACTTCAAAATGGTGTTTTAATTGCATCTTCCATGTAATAAATATCAAAGAGATTTGTAACAGACTTTTAAAACCAGAACTTTTCCTCACCAGATAAGGTTCGTGTTTGATAGTCCTTGTTACACTCACTTTGTATTTCTAGACAAAATCTTTTTGCATTCTCTTACTTCCCTCTCTGGAAGACCGCCTGTCTACATCTTTGCGATATTAAAAGGGGGGGGATTTGACATACTAGAACATTTATATTTTGACTTACGGCACCTTTCAGCCCGGATGCACGTCGTGTGCTCTGCCAGACCCTTCCGCGAGGGGAGGCCAGCTCCAGGGCTCGCTCAGGTGTCGCCGTTACTGAACTGGGCCCTTGGAGCAGCGCGTTCGGGGAGTCACTGTCTGTGCCTTGAACATGGAAGAGAACGTCTACGAGCACCTGTTGCTAAACCGTTTGGGTTTGCGTTTAGCAGAGCATTTAGCAGCAAGTAAACAAGGTTACCAGCGGGGAGAAGGGCCTTTAACCCACCTGGTTAGGATGAGCAGTGACGACCTGGCCACGTGAGCTCAGAACATGGGTCAGCCCTTGCTGACTGGCTCCTGCTGCCGAGTCTCCCCGCCCTACGCGTGCCGCAGACGCCCTCGTTTTGCTCCGCAGCCTTGCTCGGTGAACATGCCCAGCCGGCCAGCTCTGCCCGCTGCAGTGCAGGTGTCCAAGTTCAGGGCCCAGGAGCAGATCCTGCTCGCGGCAGCAGCTCCCACGCTCTTTGCGCGTGGAGGGCCGCGAAGTTCCGATCCCGCCTTGCAGACAGCGCGGAGCTTTCGCCTCCCCCCCGGCTGACTCGCCGCCTGCCCCCCGCTCCGCAGAGCTTCCCGGGAGGACCTGCCCTGGGATCCCCCCGACTCGAGCGGGACCCAGCGCTCGCCAGCCCCAGCGGGTTCCCCGGGATCCGACCTGCCGCTGGGCAGAGCCGTCCCGGCGCCGCGTGCGCTCCAGCCGCCCGGCCCGGGGGGGCCGAGGTGACCCAGGGCTGTGGCTGGGCTGCTGCCCCCCCGGGCCCGGCCCGGCCCGCCGTGGGGAGGGTGAAGGTCCCGTGGGGAGGGTGAAGGTCCCGTGGGGAGGGTGAAGGTCCCGTGGGGAGGGTGAAGGTCCCGGCGCGCCGCCGGCCTCCGGGCTGGGGGGCAGCCGGGGGGTGGGAGCAGCGTTTGCGATCGGCGTCGGCTGCGGCTTTCATGGCTGCTGGGGACCCGTGCTCCTAGGAAACCCAGGGACCTCGAGCAGGCGCTTCAGGCACTCTGAAGTATTCCACCCTTTGCCATTCGAACCTTACCGATTTAAAAAAAAAAAAAAAAAACAAACCCCAAGAGTTAAAATGTGAGTTTTTGTATTTCTGCTATTTTTTTTTTTTCAATCCTTCAGAGCAGACCGGGATACACAGCTTGCTTTCCACTGAACCTGGTAGAGAAAACTGCTCCGTGTGCTTTTCCTAGGCTGGCGGGGGTGGGAGGGACCTTTGAAGGTCAGCCCGTCCCAGTGCAACCCCCCTGCCCCGGGCAGGGACGTAGTCAACTCGACCAGGTGCTCAGAGAAGTTTGCCTTCGTTAGATCAGCTCCTATCAACATTTAAAAACAGATTTTTAGCAAAAAGAGGTGTAGGGAATAAAATCATTCTGTTTGAAGATTCAAATACTGGTAGGAGGTGGTTGTTTTAGTAACTCTGGTCTTGTTATTACCCAAGCAGCGGGCACGTTTGCTCTTTGCACTAGGCAAGTGCTGCCTTGGGGTTCATACGAGCGGAGTGTTACTGCCCCAAGAAAGAGGCAGATTTGGTTCTAGAAGGACGATCTGTGCTTAGGTCTTTATGATCGCAGTAAACTAAAAATAGCAAATGATAGTCTGAAAAAGGAAAAAATGCACACCAAGTGCTGCTCAGCTCAGTAGCCAAGCCCTCCCTTAAGCTGGTCTCTCAAAATTTGAGGGGAGAGATGAAAAAAAAAAAAAAACAAAAAAAAAAAAACCCACAACAACAAACTGAAATCCCCCCTGGCTGGTGGAGCCAGATGCCCCCGGGGAGGAGCGGGTTGTGCTCTGGGCTCCGGAGCAGCCGGACGGGCCCCCTCGGTGCTGAGCACGGTGCTGCGGAGGAGCCCTTGGGAAGGAAACCCCCCCCGAGCGCAGAGCGCTCAAACAGCAACGGTGGGAGTTGCAGGGGAAAAAGGTCTGGTCGGCTCAGCCGCCTGCCCCCGCGCAGCCGCTCCCGGGTGGACAAACGGTCTCAAACGCGCCGCAGGCTCCGTGTCTGTCTGTCCACTCGAAAGGTGAAAGTGGTTTTTTTAAGAATTGACGATGAGCGAGAAAACCCTTCAACTCGCAGAGCCTGAGGAAGTGATGTAAAAAATAAAACTGCACTATTTTCCTTCGGTATGTTGGGAATGTACTGTACAACTCTGTTTAAAAAAAACAACAAACAACAAACCTCTGCACACTTCGTTGTATTTGTTATAACATTCTAATTGTATTTTATGAATATTGTGTATTGACTTATATATTTTTGTTGGGAGCAGACTATTCTCTTTATTGCTCAGTTATTTATGTTTAAATGTAACATATGAATAAATACTTACCGTCAGGCATTCTGTGGAGCTCTTTGCAAGCCGTTTCTCTCCCCCCAAGGTAATTTCAGAGGCAGAACTGGGACCGCTGAAGACCTGGCTGCCTGGGAAGAGAGCGCGATCTGTAATTCCTGTTTCTATGATGAGCACGGGGCTGTTGTGCTAAGTGGTGGTTTTGGAGCACGCAGGTCATCTCCAGATGGACTGCAACTGCCACCTGCATGACTTCAAGGGCAGACTGAAGCTGCACGCCCTGCACGCCTAAGGGCGCCGACCCTCACCCACCGAGCCCGCTGCCCGTTCAGCCCCGGGGAAGGAGTGGGGGCAGAAGCAGGCCTATGACAAGCGTTAAAAAAATAAAGTCTCAGCCTGCAATTTTAGGCCTGATCGTGCTGCAGCTAGCAGGAAATCCAGCCGAGCTGTTGGGCTTCCCGGAGATCCTCCTCCACCGCTCCCCGCCCCCCCTCCGAACCTCTTCAGCATCCGCCGGCTGCTTCTGTTCTGGCGCAGGGTCGCTCCCTCCTTCAGAACTTGCCCTCCTACCCCAGGGCTGGTTTGCTGCTGGCAGGTTTTGCAGTGATTTCCCAGGTTTTTAGGCTGGCGAGCTCCGCCCGGAGGTGGGACCCTGGGGATAGTGGAGCCCATTCTCCTGTAAAAACACCCAACAAAGGCCCCTGCGCTGGGGTAGGCGCAGCCCAGCCATCCCCCAGCCGCTGCTCGTGACTGTTACAGCTCTTAATCGTGTATTTGTCCTTATAAAAGAGGATAAACCCTTTATGAAGTGTATCCAGTGACATGTTGGCTTAAATAACCTTCCAGTCCCACGGTGTCCTCTGCCTTCTTGTTTGCATGGTGGGACTTGGGGTGGGCAGGGAGGACACGGGTACTACAGCTGGGATTGCACACTGGCCTTCTTTTCTACAAGACCTTATTGCACCCCCCCACACCTCCCCCCCGCATTCTCTTTGCAAATTCTCAGCAGCTTTTGCCGTAGCTATTCAGACAGCTGTACCCCGAAGCTGCAGAGTCCCTGCAGCAACAGATACAGCATCCCAATGAAGTTTCATCACTGTGAAAGGCTCACTGCTCCCGACTGCCAGAAGAAAACCAAACTAAAAGAAAACTCCACCGTGTCCTGCCCCTTTTCTGTAACCCGGAGCCGGCGCTGGCAGCCTGGTGAGGTTTCAGATATTTTTTCCACTCTACCCCTAGTTTTGCCAAACGCAGCAACTTTGGCCCTTAGTCCAGTGCCACATCTCACAGTATCCTATTAGTCCAAGGCTTTCCATTTTCAGAAGCTCACCTAGAAATGCTTTTCAGTTTCTGAAATAATTAAAAAAAAAAAAAAAAAAAAACCAAAAAACCAGAAAGCCAACCCCACGCAAGCACAGGAACAGCACTGGGTTTGGTAGGGAACGTTTCACCCCTCCCAAGCTCCGAGCCAGGCTTCCTACAGCCTCGCCCCCGCAGTGCCAGCGCTCCCCTGACGTTCTGCATGGCTCTTCCTCCCGGGCGCTCTCTAACGCTGCCCTGAACCACACGAGAGCCCCCCCGGCCCCGGCAGCCCATCGCGCCAGCGCCGCGGCCCCTCGAGGAGGGTGGCAGCCCCGGGGACGGGGGGCTGGCTGCTTCCCCCCCAGCCCCTGTGTCTCCATGAAGGAGCTCCCCCACCCCTCCATAAACAGCTCAAAAAGTGCCACCTGAGAAAGCTGGCATTTGGGGGCGGGGGCGTTCAAGGGCATCACAGCGATTTCTGCCTCACGAATCCTCCCAGCGCTGAACTCTGCCCTTCGGACCCCCCGGTGCTTCGCACCCCCCAGACACCGGCCTCCACCCGGCTCCTCACAGCAGCCTGGCAAGCCAGCAGAAACACAAGGGAAAATGCTACAAGCCCCAAGCCATAGCCAAGCCCTTCCGCAGGTAACATTTCCTACCACATCCTACTCTTTTTTAACTTTCTGGAGGGAAATCAAGCTGTGACCCGCGGCACAGCAGCTGAGTGCTTTGCCTTCCTAAGCAGGTTGGTACTATTCTGTGCGTGCCCACACATTCCAGGTTTGAGTTTTCTTTTTGTTTGGGATTATTTTTTTGGATGCGTGCTTGGATCAACATTTGCTACAGCTCCGTGACACTTTTAACAACCTTCCCAGACCTGCAACATTTTTTATTTTTTTTATTTACTCCTGTCAGGACACAGGTTCTGCCACTTTGCAACTTCAAGGTCCCACTGTACTTTCCCTGCACAACAGTCACAGCAAAATGCGCTTTCCATGCCTCAGCCTGAAAAGCGCCTCCTTAATCCATTCATCCAAGTTTGCTAAAGCCCAGAGCAGCTTATCAGCTGTTACGTCGTACGAGGGCAACCTCTGATGGGGCTGGGGGAGCCCAAATAACTGTTGAGGAATGCAGAGAGCTGACAATTCCCTTCCAAGGTGCCTCCGCTTAGGCGTCCTGCAGCTCAGTGGTTCAGCCCAGTTTATTCAGATCCACTGTAAAGTGAGGCTGGAGACTGGACTCTAAACTCTCAGATGAGGAGGATCTTACAAATCAAGGGAGTGGACAAGGGAGAGGGCAGGCCATTTCCAGGCCAACAACAGCAAGCTACTGGACCACCCAGCTCATTTAACAGCATCTAATTAACCAAAGCCAAGGCAGGCACCTCCCAGGGGCTGACAGAGCGGCTTGAAAATAGCGACGCAACGGTTCAGCGAAAGGGCTGCATTTGGAAAGCAAACTGGGCATAATTACAGAGAGCTTCAGAGGGAGGAGGGCAGCAGCAGGGGTCTGCATGAGGATCAAACTTAAAAAGTGCAGCAGCAGCAGCAGCAGCGCTGCAAACCGCAGCTGTCCCTCGGCCTTAACCTGGGCACCGGGTGGAGCAAAACACCCCAAATCCCCTCCCGGGTGCAGCCGCGGCAGCTCCGAAGCGGCTGCTCAGCCCCCCTCAGCCCCCCCCGCAGCCCCTGTCCTGGCCGGGGCTGCCTCGGGGGGGGGGGACCAGCCAGACCCCCCAACCCTGCACACGAGCCCTGCTCCCCCCAAAGCTGCCGTAAGGGTTTGACTCGCCCCCCCTCCGGCTTACCGGGCTCCGCGTCCACATACCACAGGCAGGGAAAGCAGGAAAACCCCAGAGTCCGGCTTCATCACCTGCAGGAGAGAGCAGTTAAACCCGAGTTAGGTAACAGAACTTGTGCCAGGCTCTATTTCCAATTCTTTATCATGTAGGCTTGGCCCCCCAGCTCCCCCCCCCCCCCCCCCCAGCACACCCACCGTGGTAAGGACGCCCCGACGCAGGACCGGCTGCCGAGGGGGGACAGGATGGTGCCCAGTACTGCGCTGGGGCGAGCGGGGAGCCTCACTCCAGGGGCATCAGAGCCATCAGCAGGGACTGGTGGGACCCCTCAGCCCACCCCACGGCAGGAGGGTGGCTGGGGGGGGGCTCCAGCCCAAGCCCCGGCTGAGCCGAGGGCTGGGTATGGGGCACCATCCTCCTGCAACACCCTCCTCAAAACTGCCAACAGGAACAACAGCTGTACAGCATCAGAACTGCTGCTTGCTTTCACCTGGTAGCTAATTAAAGTTAATTAAACCCAATTAACAGTGTTAGCAGTGTTGCTATGCCATGCTAGACCAACTGTCCCTGAAACACCTGACCGGCTTCTGCCGACAGCCAGCCAGCAGCCCTGGGCCAAGGCTGGGAGCCCTCCCGGCCCCCCCGGGATGCCAAAGCGGGGGGGGGCTCGGCCCGGGAAGGACCCCGAACCCCGCACAGGTGAGCAGGAGCCACGGAACCAAGGCACTCGGGCTGCTGCTGGCTAAAACCCCGAGGCAGGAGGTGCAGACACGGGGCTCGGTTCCGACCCCTTAGGCACAGCCCTGTGCCCAAGCCAAGATGAACGACAGCGGGACCGCGGGGGCAGGGGCTGCACCCCCCAAAAAGAGCCCGTCCGGCGCGGGGGCGAAGCTCCCGCAGCGCCGCGGCCCCGGCGCCCGCTTCCGACGGGTATCGCAGCTTCTCTAAAGGGTGCCAGCACGTTAAAGCTGGTCAAGTCACGTCCGTTTTCCGAGTTTTCACCAGTTCTGGAGGCTGGAAGGAAGGCGTGCTTGCTTTTCCCCCCGCGCGGCATGGCCTGGGCCGGAGGGAGGGATCCGGGGCTGCTGGTCGGTAACGCGCCCGCAGGGGCAGCTACGGCTGCGGGAGGAGAGAAAGCATTGCTCCTGTAATTGGAAAATCACAAATAAACTGAAACGTCTGCATGCAAAGCACAAGGAGGAAAATGTAGAATCCCGTTTCAGATTTCAGTGCATGTTTATTTCAGTTTTGTATTTATTTCAGGCAAGTGCTTATTACATGGATATTATTCATGTTGGATACCTAAATTCCGGAGCATGAAGAGCCAGTATAGTACAGCTGAATAGTAAAAATACAATATGTACAAAATTAGTTTGTTTTTTGTTTTTTTTTTTTTTTTTCACATAGCAGATGTATCCAAACACATAAAAATCTTTACAGTCTAGGTTTTTCAATATTTAGTATTTCAATAAATTGGTAACACAGTGACACGTCCTCACTGTAAACAAAGACCGCATTTGCCCGGTGTGAGTGCGTGTTCGCTGTGATTGCGGGGGGGGGGAGGCAGAGGGGGCTCGGCCCCGGGGGCCGGCGCGGGGCAGCCAGTCTGCATTTCCCGCCCGCAGGTGCCGCGGGGATGCGCGGCCACCCACGGGGCACCGGGCGGGTCCCCCCCGCTGCCAAGAGCCGCCCCTGGCACCGGGTCGCGGGGGGCCGGGATTCCTGGCTGCCCCCCCCCCCCACGGGGGGAGGCCGGGCCGGGGAACTCCCGGCACGGGGGTGGGACGGGAGCGTGGGGTGTCTCCTGGAAGCAAGAGGTGACACGGGCGAGCCGTGGGGGGCTCTGCGTCCCGCCACCAGCCCTCCTCCCCGCTCCGCTTCGTCTTCACGGCACAAAGGAAGAGCCGGAGGCGGTGGTCGCCGAGGCGGCACCCACCCACCGCGCTGTTCGCGCGGCTGTTTCAGTAAGTCAGGTTTTGGATCATCATTTTTAAGTTCTGTATAACAGGAAGAGAAAGATGCCGTGACCGACCCTATCCACAACCTATTGTCCTTAACTCCAAACATCTGTTCCTAACAACTGATTTGGACTAAGGAAAGGAATAATCTAAATATACTGTTCTAATGAATTTTAATCTGTTCAAAATCATAACAAGGGATGGAAAACAGGCCAGAAGTATGGGAGTTTTCCTCATTCCAGCATCTTTTAGAATTAAAATAAGATTGAAATGAGCAATTGTTCACTCAAGAAACAAACAGATGCGGAGTGCAAGAGGGGCCTCAGCCGCGAGGTGCTCGGCACCCCCCGCCCCCCCCAGAGCCTCGCGGCTGCCAGGGCCCGGCCCCACGGGGCTCCTGCAAGTGCCTCCACGTCACCCGGGGAGCAGAGCTTGGCGGATTTCACCTTCACCGGGGACGCCTCGGTACACATCACAGAAAGCAAAGGGGCCAAACAAGCACCAACTGCATCGTCACACCGGGCAAATTACGTCTTCCCCCCCCCAGCCCTCCTGCCTCCCTCCCCAGCACACAAGGGAGGTCTCCAAACGCCCCTCATCCCCACCCGGAACAACTGTCACACTTTTTTTTGTTGTTGCGGTGGTTTTTAAATGCCAAAAAATTCACTCGGGATGCAAACCAGTCCAAAAGAGACACAGGCCACATACAAAAATCGGAGACACGATAAAGTCTTGCGTTGAATGTCTATACGTATATAAACAGGCGTGCATACGGACAATCACACCAACACCGACACAAGCAGCAATAGTCTCACCTCCACCTAAACCACTTAAAGGCATTTTACGCTTTTTTGTTTCTTTTATTCGTTTGTTACAGAAGGCCACTTTTAATTAAA